TAACAGCTGCAGCTGTGAGACCCAGCTACAGGATGCAGCCTCAAAAACCTCTGTAGAACTCCCCTGTTTGTACCCCAGACCACTCCTTCCTTTCCTCCCCAACTCTTCCCTTCTCCCTATATGGCCAGACATATCCTCTGTGGCCAATCCCTCCATTTCTCTTATCACTGACCCTCAGGATTTGATGTTCCTGGTAAGAATCCCTCCTTTGTTCCCGATTCTTCCATATTCCCCTGTATATAAACTGACATCTTGTTTTAATAAACACCATTTTGTGGGTCACTCCCGTGTGACTGTCTCCTTACAAGGTGTGCCACGAGGGTCTAATCCTTGGGGGACAAACCCCCTCCCCATGATAAATTAATATGGGTAATACTTACAGACAAAGAAATCTTTATGATATCCCAAAACTAAAACAAAATATTATGAAGGGAAGAGAATCATACATTTCTTATGACGTCAGGGAACGGAATGCTGATATAGCTTTTTTGGTGAGTTACAGCTTCAGCACAAGTTGGACAGGGGTCATGGATCTTTTTTAAAGAGAGGGGAATGGATAAATGTCACTACGTAACTTAAACAGAATTTTTCATTTGCTTGTTTATAAGATGTTTTGATTTAAGATGTTTATGATAGGACTAATACACAGCTAAATGTCTGTGAATTTGCAGAAGTAATCACAAAGTAATCACAAAGTAATACCAAAGATACACTACGCACTAACGTCAGAGTTTCTCTCTTCCTTTCTCACCACCTTTGTAATATTTTGATAGTCATTTTCATTGTCTTTCCAGCTGTATTCCATTTCACTTCCTCTTGCTACAACGCCTGCCCTACTTTCTTAGCTCCTGTACTCTCGCTGTCTTTCATTACCCTTCCACCCACCCATATCTACTGTTTTTGAAACATCCCAAAAAACATCTTTTCATCCCTCTACTAAATTAGCAGATCAAAGAGCAATCTGTCCCCCACTGATTTTATAACACTTTCACTGCCAGAGATATCTCGCAGATAACTAGAGAAAACTGATTTGAAGAAACAAACCTGAAGCAACAAAGAATCTGAAAAATCAGGAGATTCCTCAGCTCTACTCCTAAAACATCTGAACATACAAGAAAAGCCCTAGAAATTTTCATTAAAATAAGGGAACAGAGAACTGCCATCCTGAAGTTGTTTAGCTTATCTGATCAAATTGAATCTGATAACACATACTAACTGAGAAACTGGACACATCTAGAAGTATCTTCTGAAAGTTAATATGAAGAAGCATAACAACCTAAAAGAAGTGTCCGATAACTGCTATATTGAAATAACACAGTGACATGAACAGGACATGCATCTTTATTCCAGAATTAGATCAAACAACACTCAGTTTACTAATACAGGAATAAAAGGAGATCTTCAACATGAAGGTAGGTATTATGATTCTAATCCCGTGAAACTGATTTGAAGACATATAATCGTATAGTTGATACATAGTCAAGTAGGCTCATCCAACTCTTTTCAGCTAAGGGATGTGATATAATAGCTCCAGTAATATTTACTCTTCTACATTTCAACTAATGACAGGATACAATTCTAGAATACCCAAAAGAATCACAGTAACATTTGGTTTGGGGAAAACCTTCACACTAAATGGAACCTTTTCCTGCCAGAACAACACAAGGGAGGCAAGGTATACATAAAACCCAGCTCAGGACAGCACTTTCTGAGATAGGTTCCTTCCCAGTGTAAAAGCTATTTATAAAACTGTGCCTATACCTATGGAAAGGCACCTAACTTTACTATTTCTATTTTATCAGAGTAGAATGAGGAATTAACAGACAAGATTTCATCTTGATGATACTGGTTGCTAAAGTAATGTACAAATTTTTGTATGTCAGAAGACTATAGATATATTAGGATGAAAATTTCTAATTTCTCCCAGAAATGTTTAATGTTAGAGTATGTTTGAAATATTGTTCACAAAACTGATAGTAATTTTTTACACTACAAAAATAAATAATATACTATATTTAATTATAAATATGCAGTATACTGATGCAGTTTCCCCAAATCATCTTTTCTTTCCCATTCCAATTAGCATGCCGAAAAACCCATTGATAGCAAAAAAGCTAATGACTATAAATAACTGTTACAGCTGCAAGTGAATCCTTATTAAATTAAGGTGTTTTAGAAATGCTAAAAGAAGATCAAGGTCAGGAAAAGAGTTACCAGTTAATAATACAGGCAGTAAGAGAAAACAGTGACAGAAACTTTATGGTATTTTGAAGCAGTTAAAAAAAAGGGCTTAAAAAGTCAATAGTAATACTTTCAACCTATTTCATGACTTATTGTTAGCACTGCTTTTAAGACCAGTGTTTTTTAAGTAATGAATCACTTTTACAGTGTGGGATAGTTTTTCAATCAAATTTCTCTGTTTCCTTTAAATATAAATTGGCCAGATTCATCTCTGATGCAATTCCTTTGACTTCTAATAAACTACACCACGGTTGGATTATTGCCTTGGTCATTGTACCTATAACATTAAGACAGTACTCTACTATTCTGCTCCTGGAAAATGAAGAAATTACACTCATAAAGTCTTTCTTAGTTTCCTCTATGTAAAACAACCAGCAAGTACAGCAGTAAACTAAACTAACCATACTACTAACTTTTACAGTTATGTATCAGTTACTATAAGCTGTCTTTGGAAAAGACGACAGTAAGAACCAGAGTAAAACAGAAATAAGAGGGAATCTCAGATGTTTGCAGTTCAGTTTTTATCTCAGCTTCAGACTTCCCAAAGGATTTCTGCCAATGCATAAACAGATTTTCAAATATCTATATACAAAGTTTGTGTACAGTTGTGCAAAATCTTGATACCTAAGTGCATGTGGTCTTCTCAAAGCTGAACTACTTTTCTTCAGAGTTTAACTCCCTTGATAAATTCCCCAAACTAAATCTACTGATATTTCATGTGAGTTTCATCAAAATTCCTTGAAATGGTTAGTGAAATTAAGACAAACAGTTGATAAGACTTTGCTCCTTCTTCTTGGGGATAATGTTAAACATAGAATCACAAATCTACAGAATGATTTTGAAAAGAAACACCCTTTGGAGGTCATCTACTCCAACCTTCCTCTAAAAATATAGACTTCTAAAGTCTACTTAAATCAAGCAGCTCAGGATCAAGTCCAATTTATTCTTTAACACCTCCAAGGACAGATATTTCATAAGTTCTCTGAGAAAGTCTGCTTCAGTATCTAATTACCCTCATGGATAAAAAACAGACAACCAACAACTGAACTACCAAAAATCTTATTTCTGATGGGAATCAAAGCAGAAAGCCAGCTATAGGAAGATTGCTTTACTATTATTATTATTCACCATTGCAGTAATTTCACCTAACTGTAGAAGACACAAAGTCTTCAGAAGATTAAAAAAATGTTATATATTCAAAAAATTCTAAAAGGTACATTCTAGACATACCCTAAAGTATGCCTAAAGTGAGGCATGCAGGCAAGTTTACACAAAATTATCTGTTCTGTATAAAAGAATTACAAGTTTTTCCTCCTCTAAAGGTATCCTCTAGATGTATTTTCACTTTCTGGAGGGTAGAAAATTTCAAGAAGGACTTAACAGCTGGCATTCAAACACACTGAAGGAAAAACACTCTATTCCTGTTGTACCTGAAGCATGACTAAGAGGTGGTGATGTTAAGGTAAGAAAACCCCAAGTTCTAGGGCAAGTCTAAACTTCGATCAGAAAGCACTCTCAGACCTGCAGAAACAAGACAAATGCACCCAAGGAAAAGTTGCTCTTGCAGGAGCCTATAGTAGACCATCCTCCATTATGTGCATTTATGTGCAGTTTCCAGAATCAGTAACTTTGTCATGAATATACAAGGAGAAAAATTGCAAATACCACTATGTAGTCCAAGTGAGATTTCGGGGGATCCAGTAAAAGAAAAAGTGAATCACACAGTGAGTCAGAAATGAAAGTGACAGTGACTGTGTTTATAGGACAGGAGGTGGTTTTGAGACAGCAGTATTATAATATTAATGGACTTACAATTCAGTTTGGAGAGCTCAAACAGTCCAAGTTGATACAATAGGAAAGGAAATATACTTCATAAGTGATAAAGCAGTGTTTGTTGTGTTTCACTATTAATATTTTTATGTCTCTGCCACCTCCCAGTGATCACAAGAAAGTCATGACCTTCATTTTTTGAGGAAGTGTCTTAGTTCCAGCCAGGACAAGGTTAATTTTTGCAGGCACCAGAAGGGCAGAAGAGGCATGGTCAGGACCCCGAGGTTATTCTGCACCATTTCACTGCTGCAGGGTGGTAGCAAAGGCTTCTGAGAAGAAGGTGGGCATGGCTTGTGGTCAGGGAAAAGCGTGGTGGGCAGAGGTCCATCCACCATTGTTTTTCATTCTCAGGCTTGGTGAGCATTTTGCATGTAAATCACCCTCTTTTGTGCACTTTTGTTATTAATATTTTTGCTGTTACTGTTTTTCATATCTCATTACTACTTCCAGCAATTGTTATTATCTCAAACCATAATCTTTGACTTTTGTGTTCCACCTGAGGGATGGTGGAGGAATGGTTGTGGTTTAGAGTGCCATTCCACAGCCATTGATAGAATAAATAAAGCCGAAAAATAACATTTTAAAAACAGACTCCTCAGTTGATAAAATTTTTTAAATTGCAAAATCTAGCCTTGACAAGACAGGGCAAAATATGTGAGCATTGCATACACTCTTAAAGGGTTATAAAATAATTTTATGTGCTAACTACTTTGGCTGGAGACTGAATCATGGAATTCATGACAAAACTACATCTCAAAATGTTACTGAGATATTGAGCACTTTTGTCTTGTTAACACAGAAGACAAAGTTTAAGATGTTAAAACACAGAAATATTACTTCAAGAACAAAACCAACAGAGATCTTACTACAAACATAATGTGAACACCAGTGGGAAAACCATCACCAATGGAAAAAAACCCAAAACTTACGAGGTCGGCACTGCTCATTTTTCACACTTGTGGTTAAAGTCCTCCACTACTTCCCTCATTCAGACAATTTATCTTCATATCAATCTGATAAGAAAATAAAAAACATAACCCTCAACAAATAAAACAATATAAAATAAAACAAAACTATTAACAAATTAAAAATAGTTCAAAAAAAAGAAGATATACCCTGGAAGCAAGATTATCATATGGATACACAAGAAATGGTAGTTCAATTTTTATGAACTGTATGCCATGCTTTCGGTGTGTACTTTTCACTAAAAAGAAAACAGAAACTCCTTCTCTCCTCTCCTATCACATCCTGTCCTAAAGATTGCCAGGATTTCCAAAAAGGCATATTCTTACTAAAAGCATTTACTACTAATAATACAATGTACAGTGAACCCACAGAAATGAGGCTGTCAAACTGTAGGAGAAACAATGGGGGAAAAAAATGAAAAGAAGAATCATTGATTGCCAATATTCAGAGCAAACCTGTGAGAGTTCTATCCTTTTGTTAAAGTCTAGTATAGAAACCACGACTGCTTTCATAGAAAGAGAGATTTTTCTTCAAATACATTTTACTTGACAATTTTAACACTAGCTTATGCTATATCACAGAATCATGGAATAGTTTGGGGCAGAAGGAAGAGAGAAACTGGAAGGGACCTTTGAAGGTCATCTAGTCCAATCCCTCTTCAATGTGGAGGGACATCTTCAACTAGATCAGGCTGATCAGAGACCTGTCAAACTTCAACATCAAACCCCCTCCCCTTCCCAGCATGGGGCATCTACCACCTCTCTGCAAAACCTGTTCCAGTGTTTTAGCACCCTCATAGTATAACAGTTCTTTCCTATATTTAATTTAGGGTGACCCTCCTTTGGTTTCCAGCAATTACCTCTCTTTCTATCACTACATGGCAGTGTAAGAAGTCCCTCTTCAGCATAAGTTGCCTCTTTTAGGTAGTCAAAGATGCTCTAAGGCCTCCTCATCTTCTCCAGGCTGAACAACGTCAACTCTCTCAGCCTGTCTTCCCAGAAGAGGTCTTCCAGCCCTTGGATCATTTTCACTACCCTAGTCTGCACTCACTTTAACAGGTCCAAGTACTTATGATGGGGTCCTCAGAGCTGGATGCAGTACTCAATGTGGGTTCAAACTTACGCTGTGGAAGGGCATCTTCTTTTTTGGTACAGTTTATGACTATTTGAAAATAGATCTGATATTTTCCTGCTGAGTTTGACTTATTATTACACCACTGGTTTACTACTGTGGCGTGTAGTTCAGTAGCGTAATTTCAGTAACTTTGCAACTCTGTAAATCTTACATATTCTATGTTATTTAGCTTTATTTAGTTCTCTTTCACAAACACTGGCATTTGAGGTATTTTCTCAAAATCTATTTCCTCTAGAGCGAAGTTTCAGTGTAGAAACCTCCCCCAGCTCTTTCACTAGAACCACCTATCCAAAGACACAAGATAACTTCCATGATACTTTCCTAGTGACCTAACAGATACAGCAATAGAGGGAATTTCCTCCAATCCTCAAGTCTGAGTAACCATGTTATATGGTCTATATAAATAATAAAGTCTCCAGACAAATAGCAATAATGGAAGCACTGTTCCAGATCCACGCTTTTATCATATTAGATATCTATTTTAAAGTTTACATGTGTCTGAGGCCAATTAATACTCATTTGTTCCTGAATATACTTAGTATAACTCTTGCAAATAGAAAAAGATCCAAATCTCTTCCTAATATGTGACTGGAATTGAGCAGATTAAAAGAAGAGATCAGAATAATCAGAAAGTAATGAAATAAAAGCAAAAAAGCACAAACTCCTCAGAGCCCAGAAAGGTAGCAGAGTCAAGAAGCAGCATTAGTATAGACTGCAAGCCCTTAAAAAGGTTTGTAATCAGTCGTTTCAGAAATATGTGTTATAGTATAGTTCAGAATTCATTCATGACATAAAGCAGAATTTTTAGCATCTTAGGTGAATGAGAGTATATACTGGCACTACAAGAACTTTTTCTTTCTTTTCTTTTCTTTATGGAGATAAAGAAAAAAACCACACAAAATCAAACAAAAAACCAGCAGCAGAAAACCTCGATACCAAACCATACTTCAGATTTTTCCATAAAGATGTAAAGACATGACTGGTTGAGAAATAAGATAATTGCTTATGACTTTTAAAAGTTTACTAAATGTACAGGTGACATTCAGCTCAGACCTTTAAACTACCAGCTTCGGAATCAAGGAGCATTTACCAAGAGCTTGCTCAGTTTATACAAGAATCCTCACTTTCCCTTAGCAATACTGGAAACAGACTACTGTTGAGCTTAACATCTGGTCTGAACAAATAAATTCTCAGAGTGAAAAAAATCACATTTTTTGCTAAACCATTTAAGTGTCTTCCCAGCTGAGAAATCAGAAATATCTTACCATAAAGCAATGTGAAAAAAATTACTGATGGCATGATAAACATTTGAATCAGGAGCCATAATTTTAATTTTTGAGTTTTTTATTTGCTATGCTGTCATTTTATTTTTTACCTTATCACAACTAGGAGTGTTGAGTAGTAATCTGTTATCTTACTCACTAAACAGTACCTATTGATTTCAAAGGGACTATTTATAAACAAAACCACTTTTCCAGTGTAATCAAAGAACGTTGAGGCTTGATTTTAATTGTGTGACACAGAAAAAATTGAGATGGCACCTGCAGAAACAGCAGCTCTCAGCAGTAAATCTACTATTAAGCTATTAACCGATTAACAGACTGGCATGTGTCTGTGGTCTGAAATCCCCATCACTACCAAAAAAAGTGTCAAAATTCATATGTCAAAATGCATACATTAAATGGAGTGGTATTCCACACCACAGAAAAGATCCCACTCATTACATTAAAATTAAATGGCATATTTTCAGAAAGGATGCTGTGCACAGATATACATTTCAGCCGTAAGGATGAGATGCTGACTCTACCCACAACTGAAATGCAGCCTCAATTTATGACTTGAACAAGACACAATAAAGATCCTGTGGGCAGTGAACTTGAAAACTGAGTATTTTATTAAATTGATCTCATGTAAGAACATTTTTTACTAGAAGCATCACATGGTTTGCATGGTTTCTTTGACCACAAGTGAAGGATTCAACCTAATGTTAGAAAACAGTGAAACAAGATTTTCTATAAGTACTAAATTAGTTTTTCTATTATTGTCAACAAAATGTTCCTCAATTCAGAAATACAGGGCCTTCTTACCTGTGATTTTATATTCTAAAAAGCCAGTTGCCATTTGACATGACAATAATCTTGTTAGAAACAAGAAAATTTCAAGAAATTTGTCCTTGGGATTAATGCACCAGTTCCTGGGATTTCTGTTTCTGGAGAGCAGAAAGCAAGAGCAATAAATTATCTGTGAAAAAATAGAGCCTTTACTGACAGTGTTTGAAAGGGACATATGTTAGTGTATCTATAAATAGATGGATACATTTAATAAAAAATGTTTTTCTTGGGATTGTTTCACATTGAAACTTTTATTGCTCTAATAGATTACATCCTCACACCATAAGGACGGTGTACCTATTTGCAAGTCAATAGACTATCAGTTGATAAAATGCTTTTTTGTGTACTGCAGGAATTTTGAAAAGAGCTTTGGGATAAAACTAAATGAGTTTCAATGTAAATAAAGAAATAAAGAACCTGTATTAAGCAGGCTGGGGTAACCAGACATAGAACAATGAATCACTGTAATGCAAGTAAAAAATCTAAGAAAATTTGTTACATTATGGAGCTTATACTCAAAAAACTGGTATTAAACCTCAACTATAAGCTTTTACTGCTGGTGGTACTGTATTGGGGAGACTGGAGGAAGAAAAATCCTACATCAAACATCGTTCTTAGTAATGCTGAAATTACAAGAAATCATGTTAAATCTACCCTTTCTAGTTTGTCCAGTGGAAGAGGAAAAAAATATACTGGTATTTTACTTGTGTTTTGATTACTGGTATTTTACTTGTATTATGATTACACAGAATATTATATCAGGCCTTATTTCAGCCCTTTTAAAATTTCAGAGCCTTTTATTCCTGCTCATCATTGTCTCCTAGTTACAGTCCCCATTTACTAAACAAGTGCATTATTTTTATCCCAAGAGATATCGTCTTTCCTTAGAAATATAGGGAAAGTGCAAATACTGTAAAATTCTCTGACATGGAGAAGTGTGGGGTCTCACTGGAGGCAGTCATGAGTAGTGACTGTTCTGTCCCTGGGGAAATGGTAGATGGGGCAGATGCAGAAATTTCTACTCATTCACAGCTCATACTGCCAAATACTTCACTGCACAAAATAAGCTTCCCCCACATTTAGAGTTTGGATTTTTCATGTTTCCTTTTCTGATATTTCCCACAACGACAACTCTAAAAGATACCAGAGCATTTTTGAAAAATCCCTTCCTCAGGGGTGTCTTAGCCTTCAACCAGTTTAAGCTGTGCAACAATGATTTTCTAAGCAGACTACTTAGTTTATACTGGTTCCCGCAGTGATGATAGCAGTTGTTCCTACATTTCATGTACAGAGAAACACAATAAGTTACATTCAACTAGAAAAGTTACAGTTATTTCAGACAGAGCTGTCATCTTAGATTCCCAATTATTTTAATTATAGTAACTAGAGTATTAAGAATACACATTGATCTGTTACATCAGGTACTACAATGACTAAAAAGTGTCTTTAAAGCATGGATTATTTTATCCTCTTCTAGTCTAGTAATCTAAATGGTGCTCAAGTCTATCTCAATATCCAACTATATATTTGCCTTTAAGTCAAGTTCAAAATCCAGTCTTCATCTACTTAGAGTGCTTAGGATTTTATGCTTCTTTAACCTTTTGAATCACCTTTATCTTCTTAACTTGACAGATTTTGTCTTCAGGACTATATCAATGATACTAGCTGAACATAATGATTTTTCTTCTTTTCACTGGATACCTTTACCTTTCTTCCAGTGTTGGCTTTCTCCCATCAACTCAACAATAACATAAATGGAAGGAAAGTCAGAATTTTATCCTGAAGACAATTATGATTTAAAC